CTGCAGGGGGGCAAGACCTGAGGGAGGCCCATGCCTTCTCTCAGTGTCTCCGGCCTCCTGGTGAGAGGGGCAGTGGAGGTTGCTTGACCTCTGACCTCTGTGTGATCTCTGACCTCGGCTTGACACTGGATGTCAGCATGGTATCCAGCCTCCTGAACTGACCAGTTGGGCCGGGCTCTGCTGCTGGCCGTGACACTGGTCTTGTGGGTCCTGTGGTGCTTTGGGGTTTCCTGAGAGCGGCCTCTGGCGTTAGCCTCAGGCTGAAGGCTAGACATGGAGCTGAGGGCCTTGTGCACGGCCTCCTCAATGTCCAGCAGCCTGGCCAGGGTCTGTTCCTTCAGCCGGGTGACCTCTGTGCTGACCCGCGTCAACTCCCCAAAGGCTTGCTCCACCGAGGCCTCGGGCTTGCGGGGGGCAGCAGGCACCTGAGGGGCATCTGCTTCCAGCTGGGGCACAGCCTCGAAGAGCCTGCACAGTGCCCGCACGTCCACGCTGCTTACGGCCTCCTCCTCCAGGGCTTGTACTTGGCTCAGGAGGCCCTGGAGCTCCTGGCAGCTTCCCTGCAGGGTCTCCAGGTGCTCTGGGGCCACCTGCTGGCCACCTTCCTTGGGCTGCTCTCCTGGGGGGCTGGGGCCCTGCTGCGGTGAAGTAGGGTCACTGCTGGGAGCTTCAAGCTTGGGGGGTTCAGGACTCTGCGTGTTGCCCAGAGCCTGACTCTCAGTGGGCCTGGGGCCTAGGGTGTTGAGGCCAGGCGGGGAGCCAGGCTGGCCTGGCACGGTGGGGACCTTGGTGGTCTGAAGGATGGCTGTATCTCTGTCACCTTGTGTGTGTTCTGGCCCCACCTTCAAGGAGGATCTGGGAGACAGAGCAGGGGGCTTAGGCAGCCTCTGAGGAGGATGAGTCAGGGATAGGTGGGCAGGTTTGGGGGGCACCTGGGGCTTTTTCCTTGGGGGTGTGCTGGGCTCCAGTTTCAGGGTGTTTGTCTGTGACCCCTCAGGGCCTCTCTGGCCATCAGGGCTGCTGTGGGGGTTGGGGAGGGGGTCCTGCAGGGGCTCGGAGGCTTGCTGGATGGTGTCCTCCTGGTGGCGGGTTCGGGCCGGGAAGTCGGCTCCCGTCACAGCAGCTGGGAGAGGAGGAGGAGGAGGAACAGAGGCATTATGGGAGTGTGGGCTGGCACCTGCAGCCCGAGCCCCAGAGGCCAGAGTGTGGTGGGCTAAAGGGGCAGCCTTCAGGGTGGTCTCTGCAGCTCGGAGCCCCCCTGGGCCGACTTCTGCCACTGCCTTCCCTGGAGGCCCCCAGGCGCTCTGTATGCTGTCCCCCGGCACTTCCCGCCCTGGCCCGAGACTTTGGCCCAGGCCTCCCCGGAGTGGGCTGGGAGTCTGGGCTGGGAGGGCAGCTTCCTTGTCCCTTGGATGGGGTTCGCTCTCGGAAGGCTGGACACCCCTGCGTGGGTCAAAGGTCCTCACTGGGTGAGCAGTGTAGACACCGTCCTGAACAGCCCCCCACCCCCCAGGCAGCCCTCCGGGTGATGCTTTCTCTTCCCCACTGACCTTTCGGGGGGCTGCTGAGATCTTGGGGTCACCTCTGGCCACAGGCCTGGTGTTGCTCTGGGCAGCACCAGGGGCCACGGCCGGTGCTTGCAGGAGACCATTCTGGCAGGGTGTGGAGGTGGCTGCGGGGCCCGGGCCTTGCTTGTGCTTGTTGAGGACTTGCTGTTGCAGGCTTTGGGCCTCGGCTGTTGCCATCCGCAGACTCTGCATGGCGGCCTGGAGGTCTGGGGCCCCGGGGCCCTGGGGTGCAGCCATGGCTCCTTCCGACTTCCCCAAGGCTGCCACCCTTTTCTGTCCAGTACGGCTGTCTTCCTGCTTTTCCGCAGCCTGCAAGCAGGCTGGGGCTGCAGCGTCCCCAGCCAGGGGGACTGCCTTTCCAACGGGCAGTGGGGGGCAGGTGGTCGTCCCTGGGCCTCGCAGATGCCCCATGCCCAGGGTGGGGTCCAGGGGAGGCACATGGATGATGCTGTCAGTCAGGGGCAGCCTCTGGGCCCCCTCGCTGCCTGGCACTGGGCTTGGGTCGGCCGGCGGCTCCCACCGCAGACTCTGCAGGCCACTCAGGTCCCCTTTGTTTATGCAGCCGGCCAGCAGCTGCACACTGCTCTTCTCGGGGGTCCTGCCGGCTGGCCGGGGCTGCAGGGAGTAGGCGGTCAGCGCCACCAGGCCCTGCTCTGTCTCCTGCATCACCAGCCCGATCCTCGCCACCGAGGCCCTGAGGCTACACGCCAGCACCTGCTGGAGCTCGGGGTCCAGGTCTTCGATACCCCTGCTGCTGCTGGGGGCTGGCAGCCTCAGTGGTGTGAGCTGGAGCTGGCCGGCCGGGCCCTCCTGCACCAGCAGCCCCTGCTGGTCCACATCTGGCCGGCGCAGCACTTGGCGGATGATCCTGGGGAGCTCGCCAGACACCAGCTCTTCCTTCCGGATGTGGGGGCGTCCCTGCCCTGGGCCTGGGAGCACGTACTTGGCAAGGCAGAGCTCCCCCGGCCAGCGGGCCTCCATGAGGATGCCGCCGTGGTGCAGGATGCCGGGCGTGGCGTGCAGAGTCCGCAGGGTCCCCTCGGCCGCAGTCTCCTGCCTCTCCGGCGCCCTGTTGCCTGAGGGGCCCACGGGCTGCTCTTCCTGGAGGCTACCCCCTCGGATGCTCTCGGCTGCTAGGGAGCCCATGGGGCAATTCTCAAAGAGCCATGTGAACTTGTGCACAGCATCCCCAGGGATGGGCCCGGGGGCTGCCCTGGACCCCTGGTCTTCCCTCTTTCCTGCCTCCAGGGCCTGGAAAACCTCCCTCTGGTGAGATACTTGCCCGGAAGGAATCTCCACGCGGCTGCAGTACCGCACAGGCCTTCTCCTGCAGGGCGGGCCTGAGGTCTGCAGGGGCTCCGTCTCAAAGACATGTCCATCTGTCTGTCTTTCCCCAGCCTGGACCTGGCCGACACGCAGATGCTGCTCCCTGGAGCCCTCCGACCTGTCCAGGGGCTGGGGATCAAACATCCAGGTGCAGGACCGGACCTCGGGCTTGGCTGTGGGGTCTGTAGCCTCTGCCCTCTGCTTGTCTGCCAGCTCACTCATCGGGCATGTCTCGAACAACCACCGGATGGTCTGCACGTCACCCTTTGCGGGGGCCTCAGGCCGGGTGCCTCCCTGACCTTTGCCCTCGTCTTCCTGTTGTTCCTGCCGCTCCCGCTGGTGGATCACCTCCAGGGGCTGGGTCTCAAAGAGCCACCGAGCGGTGCCCACGTCCCCAGCCACCACTTCCTGTCGGGTGATGCCCCGCACCACATCCACGGTGCTGGGCTGTCGGCCCAGCTGGTCTAGGGGCTGCGTCTCAAACATCCACCTGTAGCCCTGCACGTCACCCCCGACCACCTGCTCCCTGCTGACCGAGGTCAGGGCGTGGAGGTGGCCCTTGCTGTCCTGCATGGCGTACACTGGGGACCCTGTGTCCTGGGGCTGCCCACAAGAATTGGGCCCTTCTGCTCTGCTCATGCTCCTGGGGGCCAGGGGCTCACCCTGCCCAATGCTGTCCAAGGGGAGGGTCTCAAAAAGCTTCTTGAAGGTCTTCACGTCCCCCTTCACCCCGTCCCTCTCGGGGGCACTCTGAGAGAGGGGCAGTGCTGAGCAGCCGCCACTGGACAGACGCTCAGACCCAAGCCCCTCCCCCTCCTGGGGGCCCACCTGCTGCAGGTGACCCACTTGGACCTTGTCTGTGAGAGCGTCCAGGGGCGTCGTCTCAAACAGCCACAGGGTGGAGCGGACGTCACCAGGGACCACCTTCTCCTTGGGTGGGGCTTCCGCTGCGGCCCCCTCCTCCCCCTTCAGAGTGTCCAGAGCTTGGGTCTCAAACAGGTGCCGCTGCTGCTGAACGTCTGGGCCGGGCGGGATGAGGTCCGGGGAAGGCTGGAAGTCCTTCTCGTCCACTGCCATTTCCCGGATGGCGTCCAGGGGCTGCGTCTCAAAGAGCCAGCGAGCTGCACTGACGTCGGGCCGAGCCCCCTCCTCCAGGGAGATGCCCCGGATCACCTTCACCTGGCTGGGGTCCCGGTTGATGGTGTCCAGAGGCTGCGTCTCAAAGAGCCAGCGGGCGGACCTCACCGCGTTGCTGTGGATCTCCTCGCGGCAGGCGGCCTGGACCTCGTGGATGGCGCCCTCTGCGTCCCGGATGGCGCACAGCGGCTCCGTCTGGAACAGCTTCACTGTCTTCCTCACATCGCCCTTCAGCTCCTGGATCTCGGAGCGCAGCTCCAAGGGGCTCTGCTCCTGCACGGAGGGGCGAGAACCCAGGCGGTCCAGCGGCCGTGTCTCAAAGAGCATCCTGGTGCCCTGGACGTCTCCGCTGGCCGCGGGCTCCCTCACTGTAGCCTGCGGTGGCTCGTCCTGGCCTGTCAGCTCACCCAGTGACTTTGTCTCAAACAGCCAGCGGGCTGCGCGCACGTCCCCTCCAGAGGCCTGGGGGGCGGCTGGCTCCTGGTCCGTGCTGTCGGCAAAGGAGCCTTCCTCAAACTTGCGGGAGGTGGCCTGGACATTGCCACCAGGCACTGGCTCCTTGGCGGCTGGCTTCTCGTGGTCCCCGATGGCGTCCAGCCGCCAGTTCTCAAAGATCCAGCGCATGCACTGGACGTCACCCTCCGTGGGCTCCTCAGAGCCCAGGACGTCGGCCAGGTCCTCAGCCACGGCCTCGGCCAGGTTCTTGCGGAGCTCGGGGTGGATGTGCCTGTAGAGACGGCGCAGTTCGCTGGCTTGCCGCTGCCGGTGGAAGTTGGAGAAGGACTCCTTGGACGGTGGTGGCGGCAGGTCCTCCAGGGCTGGGGGTGGCGGCAGGGGCAGGTCCTCTGTGGTCGGCATGGGGATGGTTGGTGTGGGGGCCGCCTGTGTCTGGGTGTCTGCCAGCCTCCTGAGGAGAAGGGGCGGAGGTGAGGATGGGGCTGGGGACCACAGGTGGGCTGGGGGCTGGTTGCTGGGAGAGACAGCAGGAGGCAGGGCGCAGGGGCAGAGCACCCTTCAATGATACCCACGTAGAGATTCCCCCTCCTCTGGACAGACGGGGTACTGCCTGGTCTGGCCTCACTCTGCCATCTGCTTGACGGGGTTCATGATGAGCCTTGAACTGAGGAAATGTGACGTCATCCAGCAACGGGGGGTCCCTGCTTCCCCAGTGTCACCTGGTCACCAGGGAGCAAGTGGGGGCCTACTGGACATGAAGCTCCTCCCTTGAGCCCCACACAACCCAAACCCATTGCCGTTGAGCCCATCCAACTCATTGTGACCCTATAGGACAGAGTAGAGCTGTCCCACAGGATTTCCAAGGAGCGGCTGGAGGATTCGAACTGCCGACCTTTTGGTGATCAGCCGAGCTCTTAACCACTGTGCCACCAGGGCTCCATTCAGCCCCACAAGGTGTGTCCCTAAACCAGTGGGCAAACTGGGCATGTCCCATCCTCCTTTTCCAAAGTCAGTTTGTCCCCTTAGAGGACTCCGGGTGAGTGGCCTGGGAGAATCCCGACTTATGGGGTCCCAGCCAGGGAGACTGAAACCAGTTCCCATGGAGTCAGCTCTGACTCACGGCGACCCGTGTGTGTCAGAGGAGAGCTGTGCTCCATGAGGTTTCCGATGGCTGGTTTTTCAGAGGTAGATCACCAGGCCTGCCTTCCCAAGTGCCTCTGGGTGGACTAGAACCGCCAGCCTTTCAGTTAGCAGCCCAGCGCATTAACTGTCTGCACCCAACAGAAGTGGGACCACCCTAAACCGGTGACTGATTTCCTGTGGAGACAAAATTCCCTTTTGGAACACCAGAGGGTGCCCTTGCCACTTTGGCTGGGAGCTCAGCAGCAGCTTTACCTCGATTCTCTGCCGCCTTTCCCAGGCCCCCGGGGGCGTGGCGGGCGGGGGCTGGTCATCAGCCCATGCCATAGAGGATGTAGTCCAGGCTCAGGGAGGGGCAGCTGTTCACCTGATAGCTTGTGGTCAGCCAGAGCCAGATTCTGAATTCCTGATCAGAGTTGTCTGTGCTGCACCCCAAGGCTCAGAAGGTCTGAGCCAGGCGGATCTCAAGGGCCTTCTAGTCTAACATCTCGTAACTGAAGAGCAGGAAATGGGGGCTCAGAAGGAGTGAGGTCTTGGCAAATGAGTGGCTGGCAGTGCTGGCTTGGGGATTCCAGACCTCATATGGGGCTTGGCCCCAAGAAATAAGACGGTGGGGAGTGAAATTTCCCTCCTGTCTTCCCCAGCAGGCACCCCTAGGAGAAAGCGAGGGTGACCCCTACACAGGGGGGACCGTGGGGCAGGGGTCGTTTCTGCAGAGACAGCCCCCCCGCCAACCACCATGTGCAAGCAAGGCCAGCTTCAGGGCCTCCCAGGTGCAGGGCCTCAGGCTAAGTCCTAGCCCTTCACCTGGCATCATTAATGCTCCTCACTCCACCCCTCCAGCCCAGATCAGCTCCTCGCGCCTCTCCCTCCCTCGTCACATCCATTATCCTTCTACGGTGGGCGCGCTGTCTCTCCCCAGCTCCGCACGCTTGTCTGGTCTCTGTCCTGTCTTATCTGCCTTGTGACAGGTGTACAGACAGCCAGGAGAGGCCAGAAGGGAAAGAATGAGAAGCACGTACCCCCTCCTGCCGCTCCTGACCCACTGCTGGGCTGGTGCTAAAGATAGCCGAGGCCCTGGCCAGCAGGGCAGCCCTGGGCCCGGGGGGAGGGCTCAGGCTCAGCCAGCGGGGGCCCAGGAACTCTTGGGGGCCCCCACCTTCGATGCCTAGGCTCCCCTGAGCCCTGGCCCCACCCCGGGTCCTGACACCCGTGTTGTGTCAGGCCTCTGGCCTGCAGGGAGACCAGATGCTGGCCCCTGAACGCTGGCCCCTGGAAGCCTCCCCTGGCCCAAGGGGCTTGGGGTAGCAGCAGGGACACTGGCAGCAGGGGAGAGCAGGGCCTCCTCCTCAAGCTTCCCTCAGGAAGAGGAGGGGAGACTTGGGGCCCGCTTCCCCACCCCCACCCCGCAGGCCCTGGCGTAGAGTCTCGGCAAACCCTCTGGGCAGTGTCCTTCAGTCACTGAGCTTCTGTGAGGACCCCAGCCGGAGGCGAACCCGTGCCTTCAGGACCTCCGCTCTAGCTGTTGGCACCACCCTGGTGGCAGATGGCGTGGGCAGGCCACCAGCCCACCCCACCCCCAGGAATCCCCAGAATCTCTGCCATGGTCACGCGCTATTAGAATCAAGACTCCAGGGATGTCAGACCCAAGGGCCCTCAGAGGTCAATGAACCTGACCCTCTGTCGTTCAGTTGGGGAAACTGAGGCCCAAAGGGAGGAGAGAAGTTTGTCCAAGGCCTCAGCGAGGCTGCAGTCAGCAGAAGCAGGTTTCCTGCCTGCTGTGAGGATGGGGTTTCTAGTGGGCGGGGGAGATCTGTAACCCAAGAAATATCGCAGAGCCTGGCCTCCTAGGATGGGGCCAGCCTCCCAGGGTGACCCCACCTTTGTCCCAGATCCCTCCTCCTTGGCCCAGCCCTGTCCTCACATCTGTGCAGACTCAGATCTGGGCCCCCCAGCCTGAGCCCCAGATCTGGAGAAGGACCTGGACAGACTTAGCACGCAGCTCCACCCCCACCGCAGGTCCTACACAGGGGTGGGGGATGGGGGAGGGGGGCTGGGCTCAGGCCAGCCTTGGGCAGATATTCCAGGGCCAGATATGCCAAGACTTTAGCCCACAACAGCTGGACAGGGGGCTCGTCCTGGCAAAGCAGACTCAGGCCTACGTACCACTCATTGCCCCAGGACCTCCCTTGTCTCTTCCATCCCTCCTTCCTGCCTGGGAACACCCTGGGGACCCTTAAAGCCTGAACCGACCCGTTGCTCATAGTGACCCCATAGGACAGAGTAGAACTGCTCCATAAGGTTTCCAAGGAGTGGCTGGTGGATTTGAACTGCCGACCGTTTGGTTAGCAGCTGAGCTCTCAACCACTGCTCCACCAGGGCTCTGAAAAGCTCTATCCCTGTATTTAAAAAATTGCAATCCAGCCACCTCCTGGATCATGCCCAGGCAGACTGGTGAGAGCCTGTCCCTTCTGCGGCCTCAGGCCTGTGGTGGCCACTCTGGGCGCCCGCCCACCCCAACCCGGGCTCAGCTGACTCTCCCTTAACTGCTTCATGGATTCCTTATATCAGAGATCTCTCCACTCAGTGAACACCCAGACACATGGCCCTCAGCCCTTCCTCCACCCAGAGCCACCCACCAGGGTCCAGAGGGGTCCCAGCCTGAGGGCCACCTGCCGAGCATGGACCACAGGCAGGTTACTCACACGCTCTGGGGTCTGTGGCGGGTATGACCTGGGGCTCTGTCGATCCTCTGGGGTGCCTACTGTGCTGGCTGTCTCCTCTGGGTCTCTGTCCCCTGCCAGCCCCGGCAGCTGCCTTTATCTTGTGGCTGGGGGGTGGGCCGGGTGGGGGCGGACAGGAGAGGCTAAGTTCAGAGTATGAAGTGGCTCGGTTATTTTTAGGGCTTTTGGAAGTCACTCTTCCATAGGGGGAATCAGTTACATGTCCTTTGGACTGGGGAGGGGGAGGGGGTGAGGGCGCTTCATTCACCCCAAGTCTGATCTGAGGGTTGAGGCTAGTGACTCACCCACATGGGGGGTGAGGGTGCCTGGACTATTCTGAGGGATGAATAAGGAGGGGTATCTGACAGCTGGACGGCCTCTGACTTCCTGAGCATGTTGCCCGGAAGCTGGAGGGCCCCTGAGGGCAGGGCCAACCTCTTCTCTGTTTCTGGTCGAGGTGCTTCTGAGAGTAAGGTCCAGCTCTCCTCCATCCCTTTCTGCACTAAAGATCTCCCCTTCTCTCACCATCAGGGAGTCCGTGGGTGGTGCAAAGGGTTAATGCACTCGGCTGCTAACTAAAAAGTTGATGGTTTGAGTCCACCCAGGTGCACCTCAAAAGAAAGGTCTGGCGGTCCACATCATAGAAGCCAGCCACTGAAAGTCCTAGGGAGCATAGTACTGCTCTCCACATGGGATCGCCATGAGTCGGAGCTGACCCCGTAACACAGGTCCACACAGCCCGAGGGAGGCCGTGAGTCGGAGCTGACCCCGTAACACAGGTCCACACAGCCCGAGGGAGGCCGTGAGTCGGAGCTGACCCCGTAACACAGGTCCACACAGCCCGAGGGAGGCCGTGTGTTGGGGAGAGACCCCGTAACATGGGTCCACACAGCCCGAGGGAGGCCGTGTGTTGGGGAGAGACCCCGTAACATGGGTCCACACAGCCCGAGGTAGGCCGTGTGTTGGGGAGAGACCCCGTAGCATGGGTCCACACAGCCCCGAGTGAAGCCGTGTGTTCGGGAGAGACATCTGAACTGTCAGGTCCCAGCCTTCACTAGGCCCTGATTTGTCAAAGATTTCCTCAGAGTGGTTTTCTGGTTTTGACACTCGACGATCTGGGCCCTGTTTACTCCCAGATTCTTCCCGCCTGACTCAGGGCCCAGACTTTCTGGGAATGGGGTGGGGGGCGGCATGAGGGATGCTGACTGTGAGGTTATTTCTGACCCTGGAGTCATCAGCTTCCCAGTCACAGGCAGAGTGGGGGGGCGGCACACCTGCCCCCTCCTTTGCTGCCCTGAGGCAGGGGGCCTAGCAGCTTAAGAGATGCCCGTGTTTGGGCTGGGAAGGGGAAGTGTGGCCAGGGATGTCCGAAGACCATCCACAGAAGACTGGAAGGAGGCATTTTGTCCCTGGGGGAGGCCGCCCAGGTGCCGTGTCTGAGAACCTGCGGGTGCCTTGTGGTACCTGGCAGAATGGGGTCTTGCTTTTGACACCCCAATGCCCGCTGTGCTAGTGGGTGATGCCAGTCACTGCTCACTTTTTCCACTGAGTCATTTCAGTTGTACAGTCAGCCTCAGGGGCACCTGGATGCCCCCCTCCGTGCCTCCTCCCTCTGCCCCTTCCCTTGTTCTTTTCTGCCCCCCAGGCCCCTGGCTGTCCCTGGGAAGGGCAGGAAGATGCAGGGTACAGACCTCTCCGGCCAGCACGCCAGGGGAGGAGGGGTCCTGGGTCTCTGACTCCTGAGAGAGCAGCCTCTCCCTGCGGCTACTGAAAGTGCCTACTTTGCAG